TTACTGTTAACATCTATAAAGTACTATGTGAGCCCCGGCGCACTGCTCCCGACCTCCTACAGTGCTATTATCAAGATCTAATGCGTTCCGGATCATGATAAAAGATCTCGTTTAAACATATAATTTCCGTTAGCCAATAAAGATCTGTATTGAATACTAAAGTACCCATTCATTTTTTAAATAGATTTTCTATTATTACTCTAATTTATATTGGGAATTCAGGATATAAGTACTAACTAATATTGGTATTGATAGGTGGGTACTTGACAAAACAGAGATTGTTGCTATTGTGTGTACTACTCGACCAAGCGTTTTAGACCAACGCGTGGAATGCGGCCTCCCCGCCCGCACCTCGCTACAGGTACCGCGATCGTCTTAGTACCGTCCGCAAGGTTGCTACCGCTAGCACGTGTTTGTTTTTTTTTTCGCTTAGCTTTCATTCGTATGTTGTTAAGTTTGTTTAAATTCGTTAAATTTTTGTTACTTATTAAAACTGTTAGTATTTTGTTGTGTGGACAATGGGGAAAAATAAAACAATACATAGTGGACAGTGAGAAAAAATATTAAGATTCCTGAATTTCAGCGGTCCTCACCCTGTTCAATGACGTATTTATATATCATTATATATCATTTACATTTTTGTATACAACACTACGCTTTGATAATGATGATTGACACTGCGCCATCTAATCCCAAACTAAGCTGACCTTACTATGGTTACTAGACAACGGATAAACATACTTATATGCTTATGCTTTATAGATATATACTTTATTACAATACATAGAAGCACCCAGACCCGTAATAATTAAATATTTGTAGATAACGCAAATAACTAATTTTTATAAAAATATTTTCTCGTGTAACATTCTAATTCTTTATATCAAATTCTTATAGAGTTTAGCGCTCACTTGGAACATTAGTTGAACTAATAATAAACAAAGCATATTTGGGTAATTTTATATAGGAAAAAATAACTCCTATCGATCATTCGGATTCTTATGCTATCCGTACCCGAAGTCAATGACGTCACGTTTGACAGTCGTCTAGTTCGCTTGGTCGAGTAGTATTGATCTATGACTTTGGAGTTATATGAGACGATTTCAATTATTATTTTGACGAAAATTTTTATTTTAAGTTTGGATTTTGAGTTTGGCCTTATTTATTATTATATTTTTTTATTATAAGATAAGGTTAGGTGAGGTGACTTGGGGTGTTCGTAGGTGTCCAAGAGCGATTTTCTAAAGAGCGATACTTGCCTGTTGTGTGGCCACTGCCACGCTCTCCAGGATTACGTGAGTAGTCGTTGCCTCTACACTGAAACATACATTACATAAAAGACAATCGCGTTGGCGGTAAATAGCTGCCGATTCAGGGCTAGATGTCCCGTACGGTTACTTCGGCAATATTGTGCCACGATAACTAACATGTTCTGTTGAAAACACCTTCTCTAGCGACTGTACAAAGATGTGAGATGTTTTTCATTGCCGTACTCATGTTTTGAATATGGATGTTGATTAATTTTAAGAATTGCTGCTTTAAGAAATGACATTATATTTGAAAATTTAATTGACGAGACTAGAACACAGTTAGGTACTTCTAAAGTGATATTCTATCCCGATTTGTAAACGATTGATTACTATAGTGTGTGTGAGTGTAAGAAGCACTATCTTTTATGGGTGGTAAATTGAAAAAAAATGAGCAAAAATTAGTAAATAATTTACATCATTTGTTTATTATTCTCATCATCAGGCCAGCGTGGTATAGTAGGCCAAAACCTCCTTTCTAAGGAGAGGTCTATGTCCAGCAGTGGACTATTAAATGCTGTTAATTTATCATTCTATTATCTATTATTTATTCTTGGATATATTTAAGTATCTATTTATTAAATACTAGCTGAGACCCGCGGTGTTACCTGCGTTTGTTGTTATATCCGCGGGCAACGCCGCGGGGCGAAGCTAGTCTAAAAAAAAGTAGCCTTAGTTACTCCTTATGACTTTAGCTATCTGCCAGTGAAAGTCCCGTCGAAATCAGTCCAGCCGTTCCAGAGATTACCCGGAACAAACAGACAGACAGACAGACAAAAATTGTAAAAAATGTCATTTTGGCATATGTACCGTGTAAACATACATATGCATTTAGTAAAAAGCGGTTTCTTTAATATTACAAACAGACACTCCAATTTTATTTATTTGTATAGATTCTAAACTAAGAAAAAATGGTTTGTGTGTGTTCCCCCTTTTTAGGGTTCCGTACCTCAAAAGGTAAAAAAGGAACCCTTATAAGATCACTTTCTTGTCCGTCTGTACGTCTGTCCGTGTGTCACCACCGATTTTCTCAGGAACGGGTATACCTAACAAGTTGAAATTTATACCAAATACTGAGGTCTATGGTCCCTATTATGCGTATAAAAATCAAGGCCCTGAGTCAACACGATAAGGGCAAACATGGGCAAATTTCGATTATCGCGAAAACTTGTAAGTACCAAAATTTACCTTAATTTTTAACTTTTTTTATTTTTAAGAATTTTCTCTTTACTTGTTCTGTAAGACCTTGCTTTTAACCAAAATTGACAATTCTAGGTCAACCGGAAGTACCCTAGAGGTTTTGGGTCGAAAACCTATATGGTAGTTCCCGTTGACCTAGAACCACGAAATTTGGCAAAAAGAAGCGTCTTACAGCACAAATAAAGGAATAATTCCAAAAAAAAAAAAAAAAATTTTGGTACTCACAAATTTTCTCGAAAATCTACGTAAAATCTGGGTAGCTGCGGAACCCTCGGCGCACGAGTTCGAACCCACGACCTCTTGATCGCAAGTCCAATGCCGTAACCATATTGAACTGATTCAGTCAGAGCCGTTTTTAGGTCATCCCAAACGGTTAGTTATGAAACGGTTTTATCTGTTTTTGAACATGCAATAATAACATTAGGGGTTAAATTATGAAATTGCCGATTTATAAAAATAAAATTCGTTTTTTTCTAAGATGTAACATATTTATTTAATCAAAATATTTACCCTAATCATCTATACATTGCTGCCATCTAAACGGAAGTTCATTTATGCTTTTACGATAGAACTCTGGAGATCTAGATTCGATACAGCATTTTGTTGCGTACCTCCTGGGAAGCTAATTTTTTATCACGTAGAAAATCGTCCAAATCAAAAAGAAAAATGGTAGTCCGTTGGAGCAAGGTCTGGTGAGTGCGGAGGATGACATATGGTTTTGTAACTGCAGCTCCTGTACAGTTACAACACTTTCTCGTGCAGTGTGAGGTCTTGCGTTATCATGGAGCAATAATGGTGAAGATCGATTCACGAGTCGGGGCTGTTCACTGGCAGTTTCGGCATCATTGTTCGAAGTTCGGCACAGTAAACATCTGCTGTTATTGCCTGAACAAACCTGAGAAAGCTATAGTGAATAACACCATGAAGAGACCACCAAAAAGTTACCATTACCTTTTTATTGGTAAGCTTTGCTTTAGGGCACTGTTGTGTTTCCGCACGGAAAAAAAAAAAAGAAAAAAAAAGGGCACTGTTGTGGCGTTTGACCTGGGGTCATCCATTGCATTTTTCGCTTACGGTTATTGTAAACAATCCACTTTTCGTCACATGATACAATTCCATCCAAAATTCCTTAATTTCTGCACCGATTCAACAAGGCAACACAAGTTTCAACCAGCATTACTTTCTACATATTAGTAAAATCATGAGGCACCCATTTTTCATTTTGTTTTAATTGCAAGTGAGTCAATATTGTAGGTAGGGTAACGTTAAACCATACCGCTAATTCCTGGGTAGTTTGACTCGGATCGGCTTCCACCAGCTCCTTCATTTCAACGTTGTTTACCTGTGTCGGTCGGTCTTCAACGCAGCGTTGATATTGCGAGCCGTTTCTGCTGCGTTAGTTCCGCGTATCTATTAGGTACTATACAACAGCAAATTTATACTTTAACCCCTATTATTAAATACTGCTTGAAACCGAAAAAACTCCACTTTGACGAAGTCTAAAGTATTGTTTATAATAATTATTCAAAAGGAAACAATTCCTAAAGTAACGGTAAATCACAATATGTATAAATTTTGTTAGTATTTCCTCGAGATATTGCTGAACCTGCATTTTGCTGAATCTGCGAACGTGTCAAAGATCCGCATGCCCTACTCAAGAAGCACAAATCAAACTCCACTTGGTAATAGCTACTAATACCTAGTCCTGAATGGAAAACGAAAGAGTCCAAAAATACAAGCTAAGTTTTGAACTAGTATCTAGATCAAAACTTGGCTTGTATTTTCCTTGTACCTGGTTGTACGCTAATTCTTAACCCTTCCGGTCTATCATCTAAGTTTTTTTCTATTAATTCAGATACTATCCTAGACTATCATACCTTGTTAGATAGCTGAGAATACGTACATGTTTTTTTTACAATTATTCATTTGTCTGTCTGTCATAGATTTTTTTTATTTTATTCGTTAAAGAAAAAAGAATACGAAGTTATTTCTTTTTGCTATTACTAATGAAGTTTCCAGTTTCCGTTTCAATGGCAGAAGTAGCCACCTACTTCGGATCGAAACGGAGAACTTCATGACATCAAAAAACCTCATATAACGACATAATTCCATAAATTCACAAACATACATGGATATTTCACACACATACTCACACACTGACACGCACACATACACACACTGACACGCACACACACACACACACACACACTGACACGCGCACACACAGACACACACTCATTCGCGCACTGACCCGCACACACATACACAGACAGATTAATGTAATCATATATTTAAAATTTTACTACAATTTGCAATTGCATACGAAGGAATACGGAAATAAAAAATGGTACATAGGTAAAAATATACCTATGTACCTTAATATTATATATTTCTAAAACTTCTATGACCATAATGTAAAGGTTATATTATTACAAAAAAAAAATATTGTTATTATCATTTTAAAATGTCCTAAAGCGTCACTCTGTTCCTCAGTTACAACGACCAAGATGACAAGTGCAGCAACCATAGGTGTTTGATTCAAGATGAAATCATCAAACAAGTAAACAACGATAGGTATTTAAAGTGGCGCGCTTCTGATTACAGCCAGTTCTCCTATAAGAAGCTCAAAGATGGACTCGTATATAAACTTGGTAAGTAACGACCTAATACAAATTTTAAAATCTATACCTACTCATATTTTTCACTATATTTTTAACCGTCTTCAAAAAGGAGGAGGTTATAACAAATAGAGTCTGTTTAGTAAAACATAATTCATTTGTTCAAACATTTGTGACTAGAATATCTGTAAAATAAACCACCCTGTTAGTGAAATAAAAGAAAATATACACAGATACCGGTACAAATGGGTAAGCTTTTACCGTGGGAGACGAATGGGCCGGCTCGACCGGAGTGATACCACGGCCTCACAGAATGCAATTCCTTCGTTGCCTTTCACTGAGTGAGTGAGGTTACCGGAGCCCAAATCCCCCCTCCCGTTGACTCGAGCGATTTTTTTTTTATGGTACAAGGGGGCAAACGAGTAGACGGGTCACCTGATGGTAAGCAACTACCGCCGCCCATGGACACCTGCAACTCAAAAGTCACAAGTGCGTTGTTGCCCTCGGAGACCCTCCAAGGGCAGCAACGCACGGCTCAAACCGTAAAGGCTCCGGTAATCTCACTCACTCAGTGAAAGGTAACAAAAGAGTTGCTTAACACCGGTTTTTTTCTTTTACACATTTTAATTTTACTCAAACCCGATTTCGTTATGTATATGTATGTGTTATATTTGCATAGCTTTTATGTTTTATAAATGGGACTAATCACACGCCCACTACTGTTACTCCTGTATACCTGGATCAACAGACTCATGGAGGATGGAAGTTCCAGGAAAGTTTAAAAGGTCTTGAAACCCGCAACGAAATTAATCAAAGTAAATTGGAGGAGATGAAAATAAAATAAATCCACTTCCCTAATTAGCAAAGCGAAAGATAAAATTGACGTGATGGTAGGCATATACCCTATTGAAAAGTTAAGCACCATGGATGCAAAACATTATGGGTCCTAAGTGAGCTAAATTTGATTCTTATAATATAAGTATGTACCTATCACAGAATGGCCCAAACACACGGAGATTTACCTTAGTTGACACAAGATTACTTCTTTTATGGTTTCTTTAATCTTTGGACTCTTGGAAAAAATAAATCTTGAAAATTTATTTTGTAATTCTCTTTTCCAATGTTTTTTTTTTTATATTTTTAATATTTCACACACATCCCCCACACGGCGGTCTGATCCCAAACTAGGCAGAGCCTGTACTATGGTAACCAGACCGCTGATAAACATACTTATATATTTGTAAATACATACATATTATAGATAAAGTAGGTACACCCAGACACAGAACAAATGACCGTGCTCATCACACAATTATTTGTTCTGGGTGGGAATCGAGCCCGCGACCTCTGTCGTAGCAGTCAGTGTCACTAACCACTAGACCAACAGGCCAGTCCAAAATTAAATAATCTTAAATGTAGTGTAGTGTTTAAATAATCTTGTCCATTTCAGGTACATTTAAACTAAACCCAGCGTTATTCCGTATGGGTGCTGAACGCTATGACAATGATGAGCCGTATCTTCCTCAATTTGATGCCAGGTTGAGATGGCCTCACCTCATTTCGCCAGTTGTGGATCAGGGTTGGTGTGGATCTGACTGGGCAGTTTCCTTGGCTACTATTGTTTCGGATAGGTGAGTATACTAAAACACTGACAAGGGAAGGAAAACTTGAAATTCTATACCAACCCGGCCACCGTTGTAGGCTAAAATCTTTTTTCTAAGGAGAGGCCTTTGTCCAGCAGTGGACTATTAAATGCTGTTGATGTGATTTTTAGGGATTGTCACCGGGTTGCATATGCAAATGATGTATTTTTTCGATCTGCCGCTATTTCATGATGAATTATTTAGCAAAGTATCCATTTCGTTTACAAGAACTCGGTTGAAACTTAAGAACCGAAGGTATCTGACTTCCTCATGCTCTAGAATAGATTTATGGCTTTATTTCTGTCAACAGATACGGGATCCAGTCTAATGGTGCCGAAAAAGTGCGCCTGAGTCCCCAGACTCTGTTATCCTGCAATGTCCAAAGACAACAGGGATGCAAGGGTGGTCACCTTGACATAGCTTGGCGATTTGCACAAGTCTTTGGGTATTTTATTTTCAATTTACTTTTTTTTTAACATGAATTGACATTATAATTATACAAATTTCGAACCATGACAGGTGTAGCATGTATTCTGAGATTCTGTAGTTTTTATTATACTGTTTAGCATTTTCAGCTTGTTATTGTTTTATGTATTTCATCTTACCGATATTGTCGTTATCTATGGATCCATTAAAAAAACGCAACAAGCATTGATTTAAAGGATAAAGGAATGATTTTTTTTATAAACAAATAAATTTGATATTCTTGTCTTCTCAAACGGCATAAAAGTGATAAATGTTCACGTATTAATATAATAATTTCTTGTTATAATCAAGTATTTCTACAGGTTGGTAGACGAGGAGTGCTTCCCGTATCAGGCGGACCAAAACTCATGTCCGTTCCGACTTGAAGACGATTTGCTTAGTGATGGTTGCGAGCCTGTGGTGCCGGAACGACGAGAGAGGTATAAGATTGGACCCCCCATACGTCTGGATCGTGAAAGGGATGTCATGTACGATATCTTTAATTCAGGACCAATTCAAGGTTAGTGCGCAAAATGAAAGTTGTATTTTTCACAACAATAATATTTAGTGTGACAGTGTTGTTATGGCGAGGCCATTCACCAATAGATATGGGGTTCTGGGCCTCAATTCTGCTATTTTATGTTTACGCCAAGCCACTGTCAGACCACTGACACGCTATTGAGATGCCATCGAGTGGCCATTGACATCGGTATAAATATCGGTAGTTGAAAATATATTACCTTTTTGAGGCCCTGATCGGAGGTTCGCGACAGAGGACTCTTTTAACACATGTATTATGTCCTTGGGCGAATTTAATAAAACTGTTTGTCTTGTAATTTAGGCCAAATGTAACGTGTGCTGCTTGATTTCACTTGTTCTAACAAAACCATTTCTTTTATATTTAAACTTGTAGGTGTTTAAGTATTCAGTTGTAAAACAGTGTAAAATGCAATTAATTATTGAAAATGCTTTTCAGCAGTCTTTCAGTTCAGTCAATATTCAGTTCCGAACAACTCTCAATCTCGTAACTGTCATAAAATATATTTTCGTAGTAAAATAGTAAATGATTATGACTAGCAGATTATCGGTTACAATACGATACAATCATATTATTTAATACTTTCCTACGAAAATACTCTTTATGACAGTTGTGAGATCGAGAGCCGATCGGAACTGAATTGTGACCGAACTTTTATTACGAGAATTGACCTTCTAGTTACCGTAATAGGTTCTGCCTACTTTCGTGAAAAAACCGGTTCTAAGTTGTTTCAAGTTATTATTTAAATAGCTTTATTCCGCAGCGTATATGGAAGTATACCAAGACTTCTTCCACTACAAGACTGGTATTTACCGGCACTCCAAATATGGTAATCAAATAATGAAGGGATACCATACCGTCAGGCTGGTCGGGTGGGGTGAAGAGGACAATCAGAAATTTTGGGTAAGTTAGAAATTTACACAAATAAATTACAATATAACAGGCATCTTCAAATTAATATAATTTGGATTGTTTATCAAGTGGTTAGCGATCTTAGCTGCTCAACCTGAGGTAAGGGGTTTGATTCCCAACCAGAACAAATAATTGTGTGACGATCACAACTGTTTCTTCGAGCTACAAACTGTGTATAGAATTACTGTTGAACGATATAATTGTACATAGAAACTGTTGAAACAGTAAAAGAAAAAACTTCCTAATAATTTACTAAAAAATAAGTAAAAGTAACAAGTATTTCTAATGACCATTTTTGATAAAAGGCGATTCCGGTTTGGCTCGCTCGAAAACCCTACTAGTTTTAGAGCGAGCAAAACCTAGGGCAGAAAGCTGAATCCTTTTATAGTCGTACGTGGTACAGGAAGGTAGGTAATATAGTTTTAGGATCGTATGATCCCAGAAAATAATTGTATCGTGTAACTCAAATAAAAAAAAATAGTTTCTTTCAAAAACGATATGTGGTGAGGGAGGATGAGGGAATAAGAATATGGAGTGTCAACCTTTTATCCAGTGGGTGTCGTAACAGCCCACTCAGGGAACAAACTACGCAGGGCAAAAGCACTGCAAAGAGTACGAAAACTTCACACAAACCCTATACCAATCCGTCTGGCCAGTGTGGTCTAGTAGGCCAAAACCTCCTTTCTAAGAAGAGGCCTATATCCAGCAGTGGACTATTAAAGGTTGATGTGAAAAGAGAAAAATAATTGTCTGAAACAGCATAATTTTTATCCAAGACAGTCTCGTACTTGTCCGATTCTTAAGGCTTTATACTGACAACCGAAACTTCACTTATAATCTTCTCCACAGATTGCTGCCAACAGTTGGGGAACAGAATGGGGAGAGAAGGGATATTTCCGCATCGCTCGCGGCGTCAACGAATGCAAGATCGAGTCTTTCTTCATTTCCGTCCTTTGTTACGTCACAGAGTCCTAAAAATCTAGTAAAAACTGACTTAAATTGTATGTTGTCACTACAGTTATGAAGGCTAACAGTCAAATGTTTTAGTTACATATTACTAGATTTTGGTAATCGTAGATCTAGGGTAATCTTTCGTAGATCTAATATCAATGTAGATCTCTGATTACTGTAGATCTAATATTACCGTAGACTTAGAGTTACCATCGTCATGGTACTTAAAGTATAGTATAAATGGCGCCACCGAGATAATTAGTCACTTTATGAGTACTTATTATTTTACAAAACACTACAAACAAAATTACTGGATAATTTCAGGCCTCGAATACATTTTAAACTAAGAACAAGTCATTGTCCTAAGATTATAAGAGCGAATTTGAGTTTGTATGTTACCGAGAGACCAACAGAGGTCTGGCCTCATGAAACTTTGCATAAATGTTTACAGAGGTCCAAATAGCCTGTATACTGTAGCGGTACATTTTGTATGTACCTTCCGATACCATTTATCAAAATGAGTAGTACTTAAAATGATGCAACAAGCTTAGTATTATTGCCAAACCATTCCATTGAACTCTGTTAATATCATTAGTTTATCAGTTAACAGTATTCCTCCACAACGGGAGCTAATGTGGGAGCTAAAATCCTGTCGCGGCAGGTTCCATTAAACCTTTAGAAAACCTGCCACATGGACACCGATTGCAAATGCTGCAAACCTCTATTTTGAATAGAGGTCATTGAATCCTTTACGTACTCAGACTTTTAGGTAAACTTTTGCTTTCTTGTTTACTTTGAATTTTACAATATCATAAATTTTACTAAGAAAAATATGTTACGATATTAAATTCATTAATTGCAATTAATCTCGCAAATGCTCTTTATTCGTATTGTACCAAATAATCTTTAACTGATAAGGTGTAAGAAATTAGACATTAGAAATACATTTGCTTTATACCTAATCAATAACTTACTAAGTAAAATAGTACTAACAGCTACAGAAAACGGAAAACGTATTATAAAGGTCCATTGTCCGTACCGAAAACAGCCTATGATTGATTCGACCATAATCGCTGTTGTTGTAAAAAAACTTGTTCATCATCTGCCTACCCTTTTCCCAATTTTATTTGGGGTCGGCGCAGTATGTATGATTTTTCCATTCTACTCTGTCATGCGTCATCTCACTGTTTACTCCCTTCCTAGCCATATCCTCCCTCACGCAGTCCATCCACCTTTTCTTCGGTCTTGTTAAAAAAAACTTGTTATTAAACATTTTTGTATTGATAAAACATAAGCTCTCCAATAGTTAGGAGTTAGAAACGGAGGATAACAATATACACGTAAAATAGTCTCGAGTTGAATGCAGTCGAAGCTTGGGGTAAAGAGCAGGACATGTTCCCCACCACCTACGAGCTTCCATTAGCCGCCTGAGGGTCTTGTGCATATGTGCGAGTTTATTTTACACTAGCTGGTACCCTAGCGCTGCGTTGGTGTAGTACAGTACGCGACTGCAGCAAATGAGGGCTCGGGTTCGATTCCCGGACCGTACGAAATTTTGTAGGGTTTTTCTGAGGAAAAATAGCCTAATTTAGGTACTCCTTATATAGACAGCTACCTGGTAGTTAACTATTATCAGAATCGGGCCAGCTATTTTGAAGATTACCCGGAACAAACAGACAGACAGACAAAAAATATTTAAACTGATTATGGTGCAAATAACAGTGTGAACATGAAAAAATCGAATATTTTGACATTATGAACTGACACTTCAATTTTATTTATTGGTATAGATGAACTCTATGGTCGACGGCGGCGATTGCGTTCGGCGTTGCTATTGACATCGTCAACTATCGAGTTGGTGTTAATAAAACTCGCACTAGACTCCCTGAACTCACCGCGCATATCAGAAGGAAAATTTTCGTAATAATAGTTCGGTCAAAATTCAGTTTCGATCTATGAACTATGAACTGTCAATCTCGCAACTGTCATAAAATATATTTTCGTCGTAGTAAAATACTAAATTATTACTAAGACTTGCGTATTATCGATTCAATTTTCGGTTACAATACGATATAACCAAATTACAGTCAACTTTGGATGTTACCTTTTATGACAGTTGTGAGTTGATCGGAACTGAATTGTGATCGAACTTTTACTGCAAGAGTTAGTTGGGCTTCTGCATTGCGTCTAGCTTATTTGCGAGGTCTGCATTCGACTCACGCGTCTGCTATACCTGCTGAACTATCTACTTTACTATTCCGTAGTTATATATTTATGATGTGTTGCCAAAGTTTAACTATTAATTTAAAAATGTTATGTAAGTGTGAGAGCGTATATTTACGTATGCATTTATATGTATTAAAGCATTGAGAAATTAACTAGCTAGTTTATTTAATGCACATCACTCCTGTTATATAGTTAATTTCTTTCGCTATAGGTACCTACCTAAGTAAAAAAAAAAAAAAAAAACAAACAATAATTGAAATGGAAATCCTATGATTTAAAGGTAAGTATGTGTATATTTAATTACAAGCGTAACAGTGTGGCATTATGCAGACCTCCGCAGCATAACCAAGGAAGGAAAACACTAGATGTATAAATAGATACGCAGATGGCCCGGAGTCCGTCGGCGTACCAGGTCTTTCCTTTCTAGTTTACACGTGGTTCCCCCCTTACTGGTACCTGAGACGGCGTGAGGTTCTTACTCGGTTGGAGTCCGACATAACCATCCCACCGGTCGTCCGTTGTGGGGTATCCGAAGGGATTTCGGTAAAAAAGGTGTAAGTTGTGAAGTAAATGGTAAGAACATCGAGGACCGATAACGACTGTCTAAGTAGCGTCTGAGCAGAAATCACGCGGGAAAAAGAAATTATAATTAAACCTACCTTACAAGATTTTTACATTGCCCAAACCGCCGGGTTGACTGGAAGTGAATGCCCTTTGCATTAAGTCAGCCGTTTCTGTTTGCACTATGATCAGCGACGAAGAAAGGGTGTTTTATCACTGAATCTTACTGCAGGGGCTCAAGTATAACAGACAGAAAGGCAAATTTAAAAAAGTATTGGGCCAAGAACTGAGCCTTGAGGAACACCCTAGCTAAGGGAACACATTTACTAATTGAAGAACCTACCTTAACACATTATGTCCTGTTTATTATGAGATAATTTTCAAATATTTTCTTTTTAATTAGTTTAGAAATAGAGACAGTGTCAAAAGCTTTGGCAAGGTCAAGGAAGATGCCAATACACTTCTGTTTGTTATTCATCTTGTCTATTACATTATCTACAAGAGATGCTACGGCATTCTCTGCTTTTAAAAAACTATAGGAATACGCCTGTTTCAATAGCAACGTTACGTGTATGAGTTATGGAAGGGACTAAAATGTGAGAGCATCTTTGTAGCAAGTGTGAGGAAATGCCATCCCAACCCACTACAGAGTCCTTGCGTAGACCATGAATAATGCTTTCTACCTCGGATTCATCCGTTGGTAACAGTACAAGTGAATTATTTTTATAGGCGGGTAAATGTCTTGTGTAGAGGCATTTGTGATTTGGGGATCGTTAACATGTTTTTGGGCTAGATCACGGCCAATGTTCGCTAAGAAAGTGTTTAGCTTGTTGACTGAAACTTCCGGATCAGATTCACTTTTGAGTAGCTCAATGGCGGGGCTAGCTTTAGTTTCAGTATTAATAATACTTTTTACTACGTTCCAGGTGGCTTTAATGTTAGACTTAGCCTTTGTAAATTCATTTTTTTCATAGGCGTTCTTAAGATTTTTGAAGAGCTTATTACAGAAGTTACTCACATACCTGACTTTTAGGTTATAGTTCTCATTGTTGCTCCTTAGCGTACGGCCACTGTTATCCCTGTTGCAAATGCAGCGAAGCAATCCCGGTGTTATCCATGGTTTCAAAATTCCTTTTTTTTTTAGGGAATGCGTCCTACCGAAGTATGAAGTTTGATAGCAGTCTAGATAGTCTCGATTAGCATCCCTCACATTTACAACAGAACTAAAATCTGTCTCAGCAAGAGACGATGACACCTGTTCATAATCAACTTTACTAGGACTTCGTACAGATGTTAAAAGAATGGAAGCATGATCAGTAATAAAGGTGTCAAAGATCAATGTACTGCACGACTGCACGGACTGCACGGATGGCGTAGTGGTTTAAGCGGTCGCCACGCCGCCTCCTACTACACCGAGTGTTGTGGGTTCAACCCCACATGGGACGACACTTTGTGTGATCTACAAATTGTTGTTCTAAGTCTGGATGTTCTTTGTGTCCGTTTCATGTATGTTTGTAAAGTCCCCCGCGACACAGGATATATTCCTAATGCAGGAGTTGTCTTTTTTAAAAAGAAAAGAAAAGAATGTCGAAATTTGAGTCAAACATTATGTAAGTGGTAAGAACGAATATAATGTTCACAACTAGTGATGATTTGTAAGCTGTAACATGACACTTCTTGCAGTATATCTGCATTCCAAATTTACCCAATTTCTATATTGGGTAAATTTGTAAATGTATTGAAACTTGACATTACAGATATTGTGCAATTTATTTAAAACTAATAACACACTCTGAATCATTAGGATAAACCAACATAACAATTATTGCCCGGAACGGTTTATGCAATTGAAGACTAACAATGCAATGAGTATAAATAGCCTAGCCATGTGAAGTGTATATAAGGTATAATGAAATCTTACACTGAAATATTACTATGGCAATTGGTATATAACATGTAAAACAAGCAATTGTTTGTTTTTATTTTGTTATAGTAATAGGGGGCAAACGAGCAGACGGGTCACCTGATGGTAAGCAACTATTACCGCCTCTATTGCTGCCCTTGGAGTCCCTCCCGCTCGAGTCATTCAGTCAGTGAAAGGCAACGAAAGAATTGCTTAACACCGGTTCTCTGTGAGGCCGTGGTATCACTCCGGTCGAGCCGGCCCATTCGTGTCGAAGCATGGCTCTCCCACGGTAAAAATAAATTGGCGTGTGTATTGTAAATGTGCTAAAATGTAAAAGTTACAGACCCGTGTATTTACTCAATTAAAAACTGCACTCCAATTAGGAAGAAAATTATTCGAGTTAGGCACTCACATTTATATGTCCGCGTGGTGACGGATTAAGAATACGGAGTGTCACCACCACTATTCATCCCGTGGGTGTCGTAAGGACAGGACAACAACACTGTAATAAAAAGAAAAACTTAAAACAAACTGTATTAACCTGTCTGGCCAGCATGGTATAGTGGGCCAAACCTCCTTTCTAAGGAAAGGCCTAGGTCCAGCAGTGGACTACTGAAGGTTGTTGATGATGATTTATGTATTTATCTATATAATTGCCACAGAAACACAAAATAAAACAAAGAAAAAGTATTTTACATAAACTTTATTTAAATTTACCAAACAGAGTTTATAGCTTCTATTTAAATATATCCTCTTCAATATACTAAATGCTGAACAATAAATAATATAACAAAAAATAAATCTATTCGTAACCTATTTAAAAACAATATATTTTGTAGACAAACGAATCGAAAGCAGTTATCGAGTTGGTTATATAGTTTATAGAGAAGGTCTCCATTCAGGTCAAAATAACACACATAACCCATAGTCGATTAAGGGAATTAAGGACTACATTAGACCGTTTACGACCCTTACTGACCCTGACGACGGGCCTGAAGGGTTAAGTAAAACCTTATATCTCTTAAGACGAGCCTGTTGTTAGTGACCCCAAGCTGCTAAAGCCGGAGTCGTGGGTTCGTTTCCCATTCAGGACAAATAATTGTGTGATGATAACAATTATTTGTTCGGTTTCTGGGTGATCTTTGAAGCGTGTTGTATATCGTGTCAAGTTGGTTTGTGTACTTAATAAAAACTCAAAAAGATCTACTTACACCGTTTAAGCTCAAATTACATACTATGTGAAGTTGGTTTGTGTACGTAACAAAAACTCAAAAAGATCTGCACCGTTTAAGCTCAAATTTACATACTATGTGAAGTTGGTTTGTGTACGTAACAAAAACTCCAAAAGTTCTGCACCGTTTAAGCTCAAATTTTGACACGATATACAACACATCACTTTTGGTTCTTATTTCTCATCAAGGCAACCGCAATGAGCCACAGCGAAGCTTAGCCGGGTATACCTAGTTATTTAAAAATATAAAAAGCCTTTTTCCCTATCTGCTATCTGGAATAATAAAAGATATAATAGTAACTACTAACACTTAAAGTTATAACTTTTTTCTCTTCTCTTAAAAAGACAACTTCCGCACTAGGAATACATCCTGTGTCGCGGGGAACTTTACAAATATACATGAAACGGACACTCACACTGAGAACAACAATTTGTGGATCACACAAAGTGTAGTCCCATGTGAGGATCGAACCCACAACACTCAGCGTAGTAGTAAGCGGCGTGGCTACCGCTTAAACCCCTACGCCATCCGTGCAGTCAGTTAAAATAACTAATTAGAAGCAATCGAATTGAAATATAAATATTTAGAACCTTTGAATATTTTTAATGGTTAAATGTAATTTAGTTACAGGATATTAACGATAGCGGGGCCGCGCCGATTCAACTGCGAAAATAGGTCACTATGTCACATTCATTTGATAAATTCCCAACTATATATCGATAATCACATAATTATCAGTACACTTTTGACGGCCGGATGGCGTAGTGGTCTGTGTAGCAGACTGCTACGCCAAAGGTCGCGGGTTCGATTTCCCACTCAAGTCAAACATTTGTGTGCATGAACATATCTCATTTGATTTGTTCTGGGTGTTTCTATGTATAATATGTTTGTATTTACAAAAATAAAGTATTTACCTATCAGTTGTCTAACACCCATAGTACAAGATCTGCTTAGTTTGGTTGTGTAAATGTAAGAATAATATAATATTTCGGACATCTGACACACAACGCCATCTAGTTTCAAACTAAGCAGAGCTTGTACTATTAAAGCTAGATTAACTGATAGAATACTTATAACCCTTTTTTTGTAAATACATACGTATTATAAATAGAAAATACCCAAACTCCGAAGCAAATATTTGCAGATTATACAAACATTTGGTCCGACCTGGGAATCGAACCCGAGACTTTAGCACAGCAATCGCATACGCTATTACTGCACCACCGAGGCAGAATGTGGTAGTATATTCTTACTTTTTTTTTTAAATCACGTCAAATACTTGTATTAGACAGTACTGTAGTTTACGTTCATCACTTTATAGGGTATCCTAATAATAAACCAGATGATACAATTATTGTAAAGTCTTTATATATTTTATCCTAGCTGTAAGTACATTAGGTACTTGTATAATTCGACAAAATTATTAAGTTAGAAATATCTAAAAATAAACAAAATGTTTTTCTGCGAAAATATTATCATTTTTATTTAGGTATTTTTAGTACCAAACAAAGTTTATTTTTTTTCATCATTCTATCTATATTCAGTGTGGTGACAGATTACGAATTCGGAGTGTTTGTTACCATCCATATTTTATCCCACGGATGTCGTAAGAGCCGACTAAGTAAGCAAACTACGCAGGACAACAGCACTGCAAAGAGAAGGAAAACTCGAAACAAACACCTGCACACCTGGACCTCGGGTGACACAAATCCGTTCCTATCTTATAGATATGTGACGGAATTATCCCCCTTTTTTTTCCGTGCGGAAATCCCCTCGGATACCACCTGTCGGTGGCATGTCGGACTCGAACCGACTAAAACCGCACGCCGTCTCGGGTACTAATAGCAGGGGAACCAGGTATACCCTAGAAAGGAAGTACGGAATTATCCCCTGATTTGAATCTCAGTTACGAGCCTCTTTGGTACTAAAAATACATAATTATCTACACACATATACTATTTTAATTTATTTCTTGACTAAATAAATATACTACTTACATATTATAATAACTTAACGTAACATTTTATAAAAATATTTTTCTGTTCTCAGTTCTTTCCCAGTTTGGGAATGGGAATGGTAAACGAAAAATATGTAACACTGATTTAATTACATCGTTCAGAGAATCGTATTGCCTCAACAGGTCCCGGTTAAGCCAAAAAAGTTTCAACCAACATCAGCATATTCAAGCATTTTTTTTTGTGTTTAAAAATATATAAAAGCTATGACATAAATGAGATGGTATACTCTTGACCCAATAACATATCGCATATCCGCTCAAATATCGTCAAAACTTTAAAATTTAGGATTTAAAATTTATGCCATTTTTATGTTACACTTCCCACTAAAAGCTTGCTTCAAGCAAACTTCTAAGTTGTTATTCTAATATTAAACGTCTTTTCCTCGATAACCTGATTTTTTGAGGTGTGTCCTCTTCCGTGTAGTGACATCTACTTATAATAAAACAAAAACATACTTAATACTAACAAACTACGGAGTAACTAATAATCCTGGATCGCGATATTAAAGTTCTCACGCCGATTAGTATTTATAAAACTTCCCAACATCAACCGTTGGGCCGTAGCCAGGCATGACCACCTGGTCCCTCGTCACCACACGCGGCCTGACCGGAGAATTCTTAACAGTATCAATTTATGCTTTACATACATACATAAATGCATTTCATACATAAACATATGACTTACATACAATAGCAGTAATACACATAGGTTAGTGTCAAAAACAATAAACGGTTCTATTCATGGTTCTATAGTTTGACATATTTCTATGCAGATATAGTAGTCAATTATTACTTAATCGTCTTTCTGTGATAAAAAAAAATGTAACATGGCAAAAAGGTTTTCATAAAACTTTAAAAAATTAGGTTCACTTTAGTTTATTATTATTGCATACTTCAAGCAAATGATTTGAAGATAGCAACATATGAAGTCACTTATCATCAATGTGAAGTCTGAAAAAATAAATTAATATAAATAAATCAATGACCCGTATTGGAAACACCCATACAACTTGCATGTGTCTTGACATTTTATTATAATTTGTTGCAGGTTTAATTCCTGTAGATTGTTCTTCTTAAATTGTATTATTAATACCCATATAACCCCCCCCCCCCATTCCCCCTTTTCCCTCACTAACTACTTGATACTCCACCTTTGTTAGCTGCTTTAGATTTCGCGACCTTTTCAACGTTTGCAGCTCTTGTCTGCAACAAAAAAGTACTTTTTAACTATGATTCATAATTTGGATGTGACATACCTACTATGTAGAATTTATATAAGTTTAAGTAGGTGTTTATTTTTAAATATAGTAAATAATATAAATAAATTTAAATGTGTAGAATAAACATTTAGATATATTACGACAAACCTATTTATTGTATTACTAGTTAAAAATATGTGGAATGCAGTGCTGTTGTAGAATGCTGTGTATTTACCACTTCGATGATTACTGCATATTTGTCGTGCGTTTGTAGGTTGCATTCCGAAATTTAATTTCTTACATTTCAATGCTTGACTATTGTTGTCTAAAAACGTCATATTACAGCAAAAAATCAATGTTATGTAGTGAAAATAAACCGGACAAAGTGATAATTAATATAAATTGCAAGTATCATCAAGTACGGAAATCCCGAAATTAATCTGATTAAATTAATTGATGTACACAGGAAATTGTGCACTGATAGTGGATGACACAAATTGGACTTATTAAATTCTGAATTAAAAAACAGCAGTCTTCCCACGACTCCTCAGAACTTCTTAGTCACAGTTTTAGATGTGTTATAGGTTAAAGTTCAATGACACAGCTCAGTGATCATATATTGCTCAAAGTCGACAATTCAGAGGACCTGATCATCCTTATATCGAGTGTAATATAAGATCAAATAAGATCCGTACTGTTAAACAGTTGTTTGAAACATAAAAAGTGGAGATAATCACGGTCACAATCAAAAATAGCCTAGGAGATCATATATTTTTTAAACTATATGGTGCCAATTAACTCTAAAAAGGAGGCCAAGTACCTAGGAGTAATACTGGAAATAAACCTTCTATGGAATAAGCAAAATTGAACAAAGTTCTGCTAATGCAAAAGGATACTTGATTCTAAAGTTGTAGATGTCCATTGATGACAGTAATGATTTACTAACAGGCAACCCGTCTGTTTGTTTTTATCCTATTATATAAAAAATGGTTTATTTAATTTACCTGAAGTGATTGGACCCTTTTGTGCAATGCCATCATAGAATTTGAAATAGATGACAACTTTTCTTTGTTCGTTGCTATATCTGCTAACTGAAAATACCAAAGAATATTAAAATTAATTTAAGCGATAGATTATGATATGTAATAAATGTGATCTGTTTAAAAATAAGTCATGTAATGTGTCATTAACTTACTAATGCATCAAGCATGGCGTCATTCTGCAAGTCTTCTAACTTTCTTCGTTCAGATGTTAACATACCATGAACTGCTTCTTGTTTTTCTCTGTAATGTTAAATGATTAAAATCTATAATTTGCATTCATCACATTCATATAAATAAAAAGACAAAAACAGTCAGTTTTAAAACTGGCCCAAAGAGCTATGAACAACACATTTTTGGGTCTGTTGGTCTAGTGATTAGTGATTCTGACTGCTAAGCTGAGGTAGGACAAATATTGTGTGATGAGCACATATAATTTATCTATAATATGTATGTATTAAAGTAAAAATATAGGAGTATGTTTATCAGCAGTCTAGTTGACTGGCTGGCACATTCTGGCTCTGCCTAGTTTGAGATTAGACAGCCTTGTCTCATTGCACAGCCATCAGTTATGGAATTGGGTTGAGCTTAATGTTCATTAATGTCTGTACTTATTTGTAAGTTTAAAACTTTAGCAATGTGTCATGTTATTGTTTGACACTTGAATAATGAATTTTCTCTAATCTAATCACTACCAGACTTATAGAAAGAGTACATAAAGCTTCAAGTGACAATTTACTTACGTTAATTCTTTTAAATGGGTATTGATAGTCGTTAGAGGAGGTTCATAGAGTTCCATAATTCCTTTGGCTAGAAGCTGAACAGTTTTAGCTTCATCAGCTGTTGTTGTTGAACTAAAAAAAAAACGACAAAATAAATTTCTCAAATCAGGTCACAACTTGGGGTAATGATTTCATTTAGAACTAAGAAACTACCTTTCCATTTTTAGGCTAAACAAAATTCGGTTATAATAGTGCTGCAATAACAAATATTATAGAAAATTTCGATAATAAATTAAAAAAATATCTTGTTTTGTACGATAATAAATAAATTGGATGACTGCCTGTGCTGCCTGACAAATTTGACATTTGACGACAGATCAAAACATTACTGAAATGTCATTTAATGTGTTGCCATGTTTTAATACAAGTTTAAAAAAAAGATAAAATAAAACGAAAGGAACTCTCTTCATCTTTAATGCCTAAAATATTATTTGGTCATTGTAGTACCATACAACGAGTGTTATCAAGCTCAGAAATAAATTCAAAACCCAGAGTGAGCATAGAAATATTAGATTGCAAGGTAGGACTAACGTATCTGTGTGTTCACCACAATATAACCATTTGAATACGAATTGTTCTTACTTTAGTCAGACTAATCAGCATTTTATTTATTACTGTGACATTAGATGAATAATGTTGCTATGCTCTCTTTTAACATTCCTTTGTACTCACTCATACTTCATTGCTTTAAAATCAATTCATTTTACAATTTCTAAATTAATGTTAAAAGAGATTTAGTATTTTAACTTAATTTTTAAAAGAATAACATATATTACTTTTTTGGATAATTTTTAAGGTTTTTGATTACTTAAAATAAGAAATAGGTAAACCATTTATTAGCACATAGGAAATGGAACGGCACTTTTTTATGGCCGCTAGATTCCCCTTGTTTTGACGTTCTTTCATTTCATAAATCGTAAAACGAGAGGGGATTACTAATTAGCGACATAATAACGATCGCGAATACGCCGTAATTTATCCTTAAAGATTACAAATAAACCAGCAAACTGGAGGTACTCCAAGTTACGAGGGAGGACGCCGAAATGACGTCCGTGGTCCGGAGACAAGAACAAGAGGATTCCGATGAATATTCGGATGCATCGCAAGATATTGAGCACAATAACTCGGCGCACGTAAGTATAGAGTCTATTCACAATAGCACTAACTTTCGTTTTGGCGCTAAAAGTATTACGGCTTACTTTCTCTTAAGCGCTCGCGTGACGGAATGTCCATTTCTTTTGGACAAATTGAGGTCACGAATTGGGCACCACTCACTGAAACGCCGCTGATGTGTTTAGACTTAAATTTTAGAAACGTTCTGGCCACGTAGGTTGTAAACAAACGATTTTGTTGTGTAAAAATGCAGTTGTTGAAAGTGGAAGGATGTTTGCAGGACGGTGCCCAGCCAGAGTCTGATTACGACTCGCAGGGAAGTGATTCGGAGCAGTCCGACCAGGATCCAGACAGTAAGGTACAGTAAGATTGTTTTTTTTTTTACGTTTACATCTTAATACCCTCAGTTATTAGTAAAGTAAATATTGATAAATTGTTATGGTTTGTCCTGAAATATCTGAAGTTGACTGTCACTGTTAATTATTAATAGAAAATATTAAAATAGAAAAATATAAATTAATAAATTTAAAAACAAAATATTTTAAGAAGTAATGTCATTATATTATGATAAAAGATAATTTGTAAGAATTAACCCCAATAACTGTCTAGATGAATATTGATATAATGCCAAATTGTCATGCATAAAAAGTCTTTCAAGTTAAACAAATCAAAGAGATAAACAGATTTTTTTAAATCTAAATGCATTCTTGTCCATTTATAATTCAATTATTGCTTCTTACACTGAGTGTTAAATTTTTAATGCTGATAATTGCTAAGTCCTTTGACAGTTTCTTATATTCTATTACTATTTAATTTTAATTTAAGCATACACATTCTTTTTTGATTCTCTTTTATTCTCTTCCTTTGTCTTCTTTACTGTCTTCTTTTATTTATCCTCTTCCTTTGTTTTCTTCTTTACTGTCTTCTTTTATTGCCGAGCGTTTTTTAAACATAGAAGTTTTACCTGATCTAGTTATCAAACATGGTCTGGTATATTTATTCTGAATTTCCAGAGCATGGAATATCTACACTCTTGTTAAACAAAATTATTTATTTACAGACAGTAAATTATTATTGTCTGTCAGTGATAATAATCACTATCCGTTTTGATCATTATTACTAATACCCAAATGGACTCAATAAATACTTTATTAGAATAGAAGAATTGATTTGGGAATCACACTTTACTCAGTGTGTCACTGCGCACACTCACACATACTCATATTTTTCATGTAAATTTATTAATCGACTGCACTAAGTTACCACTGGAAGTAAAAGTTGTTTTAATCCATTCACATTACAAAAAGGCTCTTCATACAATTCAAAATTATATGTTATGATGTTCAGGGTGTGTTTTCTGTTTTAATTAAAAGTTTAACAAACAGATTTCTCATTAAGCACTGAAAATTATCCATAACTTTCAACCTTCTCAACTTATTTTTAAATGTCTTTTACTTAAGAATATTATGTTCTCATAGCTTTTCATCTATATCTGGATCTAATTGGGATACAGAGTTCTATTTAGTCTGAGAGCACTGAACTGTTTCATTTTATTTGTGATTTTTCAAACTTAAATTAGTTGCCTTGGAGTAAACTAGCAATGTGTCAATGTTATCAGCACCAGCTAAATTGCTGTCGATTACAGTCATGTAAGCATATCTCCATAGTTAAGATAACAACAATTAAACAAGCTTTGTATTATTATTGTTCTAGGGGAATCCCCAACTATAGTACTCATATGTCAATTTTTATACTATGTTGCTGAGAAAGAGGTTGGTAGTAATAAAAAAGAATCAGTAGTAATTGAGATTTTCCTTCTCAACAAATTTTTTTTTCCATTTTACAATTTAACGTTGGCAACACTAAGATTAAACAGTTTATACTTGTCTCGAAGCCCTAATGAATTTGTTGAGGTTTATAATAGAAAATAATAGCGCTACGCTGCGGTCCCGTTTAATAACTAGTGAGTAGACTCGCCATACATCTATAGGACGGAAGGGTGACCTTTATTGACAATAGCAGTGCCAATAATTAATGTTAAACTTTTAGGAAATCCTTTATATTAAAAAAAAGACTGTTTACATAATAACAAGGACAAATAACAACTTAAAACGCAAAAGACGAGTATTTAAAACTCCTCGCAGTTTTTTAGCAGATGAGTATTTAAAACTGCGAGGAATGTTCATTTCCGTCTCACATTCTAAATACAATGCAGAAGGTAAAATAAATTTAATTACGTATATACATAATAATATATAGATTAATGTGAGTAGATCACTAATTTTAATTTTTAATTAAAAACCACGCATATTTTTATATATTTTTGAGCAATCTCTGGACGGTGAAAGGCATTGTCTGTAACGAACAAGACGGTAACGAAATCCCTTTTATAATAACGAGGCTATAAACCAGCTATTAATGTTAGACATCGACAGCAGGTCTTTAAAAAATAACAATTATAATAATAAACAAATTAGCATTTTATGATTTGGTATTGTCTTGCATGCATGAAAAAATAACAATATCTAACTTCAATATTTTCTATTATATTGTTGATTAGTTTGTTAAACGTACTGTGTGATATTTGATATGTAGATAAAAAGATGGAGAAGGCTGCAGAAAAAATACTTCTTAATTTTTTTTTTTTTTTAATATAACTCCCGCATTAGGAATATTTCCTGTGTCGCGGGGGACTTTACAAACATACATGAAACGAATACAAAGAACACCCAGACTCAGAACAACAATTATTAAATCACACAAAGTGTCGTCCCATGTGGGGATCGGATCCACAACACTCAGCGTAGTAGTGAGCGGCGTGGCGACCGCTTAAACCACTACGCCATCCGTGCAGTCTTGCTTGGATTAATGTAATGTATTACTTCTCTTACTTGAGGAGAAGAAAATATGAGATAAGAGAGATTACATATTTTATTTTTAAAATATACTAGTCGATCCGCCCAATAAAAGGAATGAATTTCCCCGTTTTGGAACATTTTGTCATTGATGGAGCCTTTCCTTCCTTAATAAATGGGATTCCTATCCAACACTAAAAGATTTTTTCAATTCGAACCATTAATTAGTTCCTGACATTAGCACGTTCAACCTAAGCACACAAACTCCTTAGCTTTAAAATAATAGTATAGATAATTATATCTAAATACATACATATATATAGCGCTATTTACAGAATACTGCTTCTTAAAATACTGCATTGAACGGTGAAAACCTACAGAACTCAAACGACCGTCATACGTATAGTTTTTTTTAAAGTAATAAGTGAAAGTCATTTTAAAATGAATACCCAGCGCCGTCTAATGCTAAATTACAAAACAAACGAAGATATTGTTCGGACAACAATTTTGTAAGCGGAAGTAAAAATGTAAATTTTATTGTTAATGCAGTGCTATAAACTGAATGTTTTTAAGATACGTATTTTGGTTGATAGTCTTCCTTGTATGCTACTTCCACTCGTAAAAGTGTGTAGTTAAGAGGTTTAAACAATAAATATACCTAAGCAAAACGATGTAACTTTTAAACTATTCGTATAACGTTCGATAAAATATAAAATTAAGTTTATCGTAAGCGCATTAATTCCCGTAAACATTTTTTTTTCCTCCGAGCCTTTTCCCAAAGACTAGGTTGGATCGGCTTTAATTCTAGACTGCCGTCAGAATTCCATAGGCGATATCGAAGTTCGGTAGAAAGACTGTTTTTAGACTTTTTGGACTTCCAATTACCACCCTCCGTGTGGTGACGGATTAAGAATACAGAGTGTCACCACCCCTATTCATCCCGTGGGTGTCGTAAGAGCCGACTAAGGGAAAAAACTACGCAGGACAACAGCACTGCAGAGAGAAGGAAAACTTGACACGAACCCTATACCAACCCGTCTGGCCAGCGTGGTATAGTAGGCCAAAACCTCCTTTCTAAGAAGAGGCTTATGTCCAGCAGTGGACTATTAAAGGCTGTTGATGATGAATTACCCTTAACGTTTGCCACAGATGTTTGTATGGCAACCAGGACCGATGGCTTAACATGCTCTCTGATCTCTCTCTCAATCTGTTAAGAATAGTCACCCATCTATAGACTGATCCGGCTAGGATTATTTAACTTTTGCAATGTGTTAACCTACTCGTAAACATAATTAAAGATGTATATAATCATTTCATAAAAGTATCAATCATTTAGACGACCGAATGGTGTAGTGGTTTGTGTAACGGACTGCTATTCCAAAGGTCGCGGGTTCGATTCCCGCTCAAGTCAAACATTTGTGTGCATGAACATTTATTGTTTGATTGTATGTATAATATGTATTTATTTACAAAAAAAAAGGTATATATGTATTTATATGAGTTGTCTAGTACCCATAGTACAAGCTTTGCTTAGTTTGGGACTGGATGGCGTTGTGTGAATGTGGTAGAATAATATTATTATTATTTATTGTATGAGAGCAGAATACATCGGTGTTTCATACCATCTAAAATCTTTGTTCCACTGTCTCATCCATACAAGTGAATGTGTGAAAATACAACATGAGCAGAGTGGATGCCTCATTCTGTTTTTCTGTCTTATCACCCAAACAAAAGTCTTAAATTTTTTATGAACATTAAAATTACAAAATCCTTGTATTTTTTTTTCAGTATTATCATCTTCCTACTCTTCTCAAATTTATTAGGGTCGGTGCAAAGAGTTGCATCTTCAACTATTCTTGATCCGACGTCCTCCATCTAATATATAAAATTAACGTGTCACGGTGTTCGTGGTTGAACTCCGAAACGGCTCGATCGATTTTCGTGAAATTTTGTGTGCATATCGGGTATGTCTGAGAATCGACCAAAATCTATTTTTCATACCCCTAATTTTTTTTTGTCAATTTTTTTTGAAATACAAAATACTCTGACTTCGCGTAGTTCAATTCATCTGCTCTGCTTCAAACTATCCGTATAAACATTATTTTTGCTTCTATTGCCTTCCCATCTTAAACTCAACTACCCCTTTTTTTTTTTTTTAATTTTTTTTTTGTTGACGGGGTGGAAAATCCCTTCGGATCTCCGGCTCCTCGGGGACTCAGGAGCCAAAACTCAACTACCCCTAATTTTCTTGTAATTAAGTCTCAATTTCCCTTGTTGCCGACAGTAAAGTTTCCTCATATTACGAGTCACGGACAAACTTAAAGTTGGTAAAATGTGTTTTAAACACATCTGCCCACTCCTTTAAAAAATTGTAGGGCAGTGTTTTGCAAGGCTAAGGATAGCCGCACACACTCAAGGATATTGTCAATAATAATATAATAAAATAATATTTTCGGACTACTGACATCTAGTTTCAAACTAAGAAGAACTTTTACTATGAATA